GCGCAGCCAGCCGTGGGACAAGCATGGCGGCTCAGCCCCAACACGGCGGGCTTTCCATCACCAGCCCCCAGCTGGAGCTGCACTAAAGCGGCCGGTTGGGCTCCCGAAATGCGACTCAGCTCACGGCAGCCCTCAGGAGGGACGGTGTAATCATTCACCCAGGCCTCAGGAATAGCCCCGGCCGGCCAGGCTGCAAGCCAGCACGTGCGGAGGGCAGAGTCCAGGTTTCCACTCCACGTCATGAGCCGCCGAAAACAGCCTCAGTGCCCACCCGACACCCACGCGGTGGTGGACACGCAGGGACACTCTGGTGTGGTGGCACCCGCGGTCCTGTCCCGGTGCTTGTAAGACCTTAATACACAGGAGACCCCAGCATGGTGGTGGGGTGGTTTCCTGATGATCAGTGAGCTGAACTGGCGGATCCCATCTCAGCCATGTCACCAGTGTTGGCCGGTCAGTGCTTACAGGTGCCCACGGGTGACATGGCGTTAGCCACAGGTCCGAGGGATCATGGGGCACGCAGAGCATTCCCCTCCCCGGGGTGATGGCTCATCTGCAGTGCCAGAGCCAACCCTGCTGCCACCCAACACAGTCCCTCACTGTCCCCAGCCAGCTCCCACTGCTGTCCCATCACTGAGGGGCCACAAATCAGCCACACACTTGCGTCCCACTGCCACCCGTGGCTCTCCACGGGAAGCAGCAGCCTGGGGCCATGGGGGATAGCGTGGGGACGGCAGCAGCTCCCGTTCACCAGTCGGCACAGGCAACACCCACAGTGCCGCCAAGCCCTGGTCCTGTCCCTGGTCTTCCCCGCCCGGGGACCTGGCGTAGGGCCTGCCCCGAGCCAAAGGCCAAGGCTGGCAGCAGGAGGAGCCGGATCGGCCGGTTTCCGACAGAAACCAGCCCGCACCCGAAATGGCCCCGCCGGGAGAGGCAGTATCTGGGCAGAGCTGACCACAGCCCAGCCCGACATGCCCAGCACTGGGCACTGGCACCACAGGGAGCCCCGCACTCACCACTCTGCCCCACACACACACCGTGGCCGCCATGCCCCAGGGTTTTTAATACCAAACAAAACCCGGGCTGTGCCGGGACAGCTTGTCCCACTGCAAGGACCCTGATTCAGGGCTGTGCCTGGCCACGGGTGACACCACCGGCAATGACCACTGTGGGGACAGCAACCGGTGGGGAGGTTATTTATCAGAGAGCGACGCACCCTGCCTACCCCAGCCTTGCCCCACACCCATCCCCACCACCCATAACCTGTTTCCCAACCTCCCCGCCGACAGGGGTCCTCAATCTGGGACCCCAAAGCCTTCCCAGGATCAGTGGGCTCCCTGGTCTCAGCCAGTGCCACAAAACCGCTCGTCCCTTGTCTGGTCCTGGCCATGCATGGGTCCCAGATCCCCCCAGAAGCTCCTCTGACCCAATCCCACCCACATCACGATGGGCTGATCCTGACCCCCTGCCCTAGGAAAAGGGTCTGACCCAGCCGGGGTGTAAATCAGTAGGATGGAGGCACGTCCTCCAGCCCTTGGGGCACGGAGCTGCGGCACCTCGGGGCCCCAGGATCCCCTCCAGGGTACCTCCCTGCCATCAGGGTCAGACTCCAGGAGGATCACTGGGTCCTGGAGCCACCCAGAGAGGGATAAAACATGGCCAATTTCCCAGATGAAAGCACGGCTGGGTTCCCGTCCCCAAATGGGAAGCGGGGCTGGCAGATCCCGGGATCCCAGGGGACAGGGTCAGGCACTCACCGAGTCTCGGATCCGACCAGGAAGGAGCTGAGCTCCAGGGCTGGTGGCAGTGGTGTCACTCCAGGGTGCCTTGCGTAACCCTTTGTGGCCCAGACGCTGCCTGCAGGAGGGAAGGAGGAGGAAGGGGGTCCTGGGGCAGCTTCCCGGGCACAGCAGGGGTCACGGGGGGCTGTCCCTGCTCTCCTCCAGGGTGCTGCTGGCTCAGCCACATCCACTCGCCCCCCATCCAGCCCTGGGCAGGGACAGGCTCACCCGATGCTGAGGGTGGTGGTGCCTGGGAAGGGAGGGTCCTTCCCCCCAGCCTGGCCCTCTCCAAGGAGGTGGTGGAGGTCTGCACCAACCCGCACAGCCCCGGACCCCCAAACCCCCTCAGCAGCCCCGGGGGGAAACAAATGGCTTCACCCAGTGCCCCAAGAGGGGACAGCGGCCAGTGGCCAGTTGGCTGGCCTGGGGCTCCCGGTCCTGGGGGGGAAAAGGTGACCCTATTGATGGCTACTGCCCCCTTTCCTCCTCTCCCCCTTTCCTCTGCCCCACACCTGGGGACCAGCCCCCCGTCACTCCTCTTCCCGCGGGGTCGCTGTCCTGAAGTGACAGCGATCAGCTCCACGCCTCGGCTCTCGGTCCAGGGTCGGTGCTGATGCCGCAGGAGGTCACGGCCCTGCGGCGGAACATCGCGGGGGTACCAGTTCCTCCTGAACCCCCCGGTCACCA